CCAGGGGCGGTGGCAGTCGCTCGCCCCGTGTCCTGTGAGCTTGTCTGCCGAGTACGGAGTTCCGGAGTACGATCGTTAGAAACAGAGATAATTCGGTACTTAGGAGGGCGGATGGGACCTGCCCCACCCGGGCAAAGCCAGGTCAGCCTCTCCTCAGTGTGCTGCTCACCCGCTCTGGAGCGCACTTTCGTGCACAGAAGGTCGTGGCAGAGCGTCAGACCTCACGCTGCAAGAATACTACGATTTCTTATTTTACTAGAAATGCTTTTAACAGTGCTCAAGTACAAAAGATGAGTAAACAAATTATTTAGCAGACCCATATACCTGCCAAGAAGGGCTTTCCAAGTAAAAACCCAATGTCCTCTACACTATCTGCTTTTAGAAAGTTTGGTTTTGAACATTTAGTGGAACTTGGTTGATGCTGAAGTTTATTAAAGTTCACTGGATTGTCTAATAAACAAATAAGTAACCCAAACAGAGAGCTGGTGTTTTGGTGTTAGCTGTTGAAACTCCACTTGGAAGCAAGAGGTTTTCAGGAGCTCAAAGGGTATGACACTTATACCTGCTCAGGTACTGCCAGTCAGCAATGCGTGCTGCTTTCCGTGTGTGGAAATCTCTCACAGAAAGAAAACAAAGTCTGAATAACCTTATTGTGAGTTTCCACAGAGTTATCTCCAGCTCACTCCATTCACTTCTGGGATTGGTTTTTCTCCTCAGATACGTGGAGCATCTCCTGGAGCTTGGAGACCAGCCTTGGGACCCTGAACAGATGGACCCTCTGCACAGCCTAAACCGCAACCTAATGCCTGCCCCATCTGGCACCTAGACCAAGGACATCATGGTACCTGAGAATTCTGCCGCAGTGTCTGTATCCAAGAAAATGAAGAGGGAAAACAAAGGAGGGACTAGTGCAGATCTGAGGAACCAACCCTCATTAGATAAAAGTCAATTAGCACATTAAAATTGCCTCTTACTGTGAAAGACTCTGCTCTTTTATGCTTGAATGCTACATTTCTGTCCAATCCTTTTGCAAAAGGATTCAGCATCTGCAGAATAAAAAGAATGTTTTCTGTGAGCTCTTAAGCTCCTGAATAGTTAATAAATCGACATATAAATAAAGGGCATTATATGCATCTTCCAGCTGGAAGCAGAAATCTGAATTCGTGGTTGGTTACTCCTATTATGTACAGGACTGCATTGATCCTTTTTTCAGCTAGCAGCAGTGATGGGTTTTTAGGGAAAAATATACCATCCACAACTGCATCAATGAAGAGAGGGTGCTGCAGAAAAAAAATACACCTTTGTTATTTACGTGTTGGTTTTGCTTGGAAAGATAATTCAGCTTTCTTAGTATTGACCTAAAGAAATCACATGCGTGACCCATTTTTAGTTATAACATCAAAGATAACTAAGTTTCAGGCCTTGTGCCTAGTTTCTCTTACATAATTTTAGTACTGCACAAGAATTAAATGCTGAATGCTCAAGACAAAGAGTGACCTGTTAACCAATTTGGTTGGAAGAGTCAAAATAATCTTGTGTGGTAAGACTGCAAAAGAACTGACAAGCCAGCACATGGCAACAGATGAAACAGCTACTACCAAAAGATCAGTATTGGAAAAAGGAAAGCTTTCTCAATTACTCTACTTCCAAGAAAGGTTTGCTAAATGCTGTACTACTTCCTCCAACGCGCATCTTTCCTTCTTGCACACTGTATTAAAAAATCAGCCAACTGCTAGGAAGTGCCTTGCTGATGACAGGGGTGACACAATGAGTTATGCAAAGCTGTTCAGTTCCATTTTTGCAATTTTAACTCTCCTGTTTGGCATTTGTGTGTCTGACTGGTTCATAACCATTCCCAGAGAAAACAAACAAACAACAACAACAACAACAAAAACCCAAACAAAAAAAGCATTAATGGTTTACATTAGCGTGATAAATGCACTTCTATTCTGAAATGCAGGGTAAGGAATGTTCCTGTCCAAATTCTTCAGGTGCAATATTATTGTTCAAGTGCACTGTTGTGAAGTCCTGCAAAAGTCAAACAAGTGTCATACAATGGTTTTGATACAAGTTGTCTTAGTTTTAGAGGTTTTTTTCTGTCTTGTAAAACAAAGTACAGCACTAACTACTGTTTTTAGAGTTAATTTTGCCATCTCTTCTGCTCTTTTTTCTCTTTAGCAAAGAACAACTGCAGCTGAATCCAGTTTTTCGCTGCCAGCATAATTGCAATTCTCTGCAATCAGTATAACAAAAGACTGACAATTTTCTTGTATTAACTATGACACCCCTCATTGGGCAGTACTTTCTTCAGCAACTGAGTCACAGTGCTGGGAACGTGAAGGGATTTTGCAGAACTCCAATTCCTTTCATCATAGCTGAAGGCCAGAGTCATGTTTCATGTAAAAGATGTGACATAAATCAGTTACAACAGCATGCACAAAATGGAATATTTGCAAGTTTGAACAAAGCAGTATCGTAAATGGGTGTGCGTCATGGATCGGTGTGCAAATGGATTTTTTTTTCACAGGAAGCATCAACATGTGGAAAGCCACAGTATTAAAAAGGTCAGTAATAATATTGAACACCATCAAAGTGCTAAAATATGGAAGAATATACATTTTTAAATTTCTTACTTTAGGTTGTTTTTCAGGATAGTCAGCTATCAGAGTTCTGGCTACAACTCCACTCTTTTGAGATAGCTCTGTGGAACCTGTGATCACCAACTTGGAAAGGCAATTACAAAAATTATATATAATTAACACATTTTTTAAAAAGTTTAAGTGTTCTATTGACAAAATGTGAAAAACAGTACAACAGCAGCAGTTATTGCTGAATATTATCAAATAAATACACTGCTAAGAATTCCTTCAAATAGTGCACAGTGAATATGTTTGTATTTAATGTATATATACTGTTACCTTGAGCTGAACTGGATATTTATACCAAGTGACCGTTAATATTAAAGATATAAAATAAAATGTGGCTTGGGACATAATGTAGCAATCTACAAGGACAGAAACATTAATTCAACAAACAAACCAACAATGGATTGAAAGCCTACTTTGGATACTTCCCTACAGGGGAAGGAATAAAACGCCCAGTGTGCCCCATATGCTGCATTGAGAAATGTGTGACAGAACTAGCAGTATGGCTGAACATTGTTGCTACAATTAGCTGTTACTTAATGATGGCCTTTTGCAAGTAATGGTAACAACTAGTGTTTTTTGCAAGTTATGGAAAAAATGCACAAAGGGACAGCCAGGCAGAGGCTCAGTATAGATCACACTGCTCAAAATCCACTGATGTGTAAAAGCAAACCCAAGTGAACCCAGAGATGAGGAGGAAGAAGAAGACAACCTCCCGAAATCAACACCTGAAGGCAGGAACTTGGGCTGCCGATGTGTTGCTGTGACAGCCCTTCCTGGGAAGAGTAGCCACAGTCAGTGGCATGTGGGAGATGAGAAAGTGAGCTCAGCATCAGTTAAGGGGGTAGTTAGAGCTAATTTATCGCTGTTTGTGTATTGTTTTGAGTTCTTACAGATTCTTGGATGCTTACATTGTGTATTCCTTTGTGCCTGGCAGGTGTATCTTGCTTGTCATGTAACTTTATGAAAAAGCCACTCCACTATTTGTGTGCCCTAATGCATTCCAGATATGCCAAAAATGTGGTCACAGCTCCTAGTGCCCTCGAAAGGAGAAAGCCTGGGAGTGCATGCTGTTCACATCAGCAAGTCTTCCCTTTGTGGGCCCACAGACAATGGTGAGCTAACAACATGCCGTGAACAACATCATACTTTTCTGTCCCCTCCATCTCAGTGGGTGCCTGTCCTGCCAGCAATGCTTCCTCCCTGAATTCTTTGCGAGAAAGAGTTGAAGAACAGATAATCACACAAGAGAGTAGTCTGTGAAAACCCTAGAGCCTTGAGACCTAGGTCCTGCAAAGAAAGCTGGAAAATCCATGTCTGAAACCCTTTAGGTTTAAGAAAGAAATTGGGCACATTTCTGGCTTTATGGTGTGATTTAACCTCTTGGAATTAGCCTGTATCAGTTATGTGAAAGAAAAGGAAGTTCCAAAAAAATAAAAAGCAACATTTATTTATAACAGTTTACTAAACAAGAAAACAAGTAGAGATTTTCTGTCCTCCTTAGCGAGATGTCAAGGCCATCACAGATGTTTTTTGATTGATGCTCTACTTTCTACAAGCTATATCCAATTAAAGAAAGTAGAAAGAGGGTGTGAGAATGTCAACTTACCATTCTATTCTGAAATAAAAGTGAAATGAGCATATAATGTATTCTGACACTTATGATTTATTCTGAATAGATCATTTCTTACATAAGATTTCAATATATTTGCCTATTTTCCCCTCATTCCCCCATTCTCACAGGAGCATTATTGAGTTCTGATATCCACTGAGTAGATACCATGGTCTTTTTGAGCCTGAAATATTGTGGGTTTTTTCTGCTTGCTTCATTAAACAGTGATTTTAGTCCCACAGACGTTCCAATTTTCCCTTGATTCCTTCCTTTCACATGACAACAGATTAAACAATAGAGTTAGAAGGTGATTATTAAACTCTGCATCCTAAGAAACTAGTTTATCTTTGACTTTACTTTGGGTTTTAAAAGCAAACTGTACCCTCCTCAACTCTTATAAATCTGTATGTTCTCTCCTTCCATTCATCATTTCTTTTGTGAGCTGTGTCCAAAACTCCATTTTGCGTTCTTTCAATTTCTTTGCTGTCTTTTGCATTAGGTCTATTTCCAGGTATCTTTCATCCAGGTCATACTGAGGCCAATGGACCAAGCCTTCTCCATTGGGATTTCTGGAAATAATATAATGAAAAGTTAGCTTTCCATTTACCTATCAATTGCGCTCTGGCTGCTCAGGCTGAGATCATATTATAAAACTGGCACCGGCTCAGATTATGTGATTCTAGTACCTGAATAGTCAGATGTTTTCTACCAAAATGCTTATCATTGTAATAAAAAATGTTTAATAATTGTCATTACTTTTGGATCTAAAGCTCCATTGCAGATGGAGTAATAGCTCTTGGATATTTTTTTCTTCTTTTAGTCTGCAAGTTCATTTAAAAAGTTTTTCTTGCATCACTAAGATTAGAAAAAATTTGCTTCAACTTTTATCTTAAATTCTGCCAAATATTGCTATTATGATCCAGGCAGCACAGACAAAACTTGAGCTATAATTAGCACTATAATTCTCACCCATTTCTAGCAAAGTTAGTCCAGTATCTCATAACAGTTCTGCTAAGTTTATTTTCTTCTTCTGTAGCATGCCCTGCAAAGTGAGAGATGAAATGGAAACATTAAAAATTAAATTAGTATCAGCTAAATAAATTCCAACAGAATGTAATCAGTACTAATTGTTAGTCTAAGCTATGGGAGTTTTACCTGAACAGAGCTCTAGGAGAGAACTGCAAATTAATGATTTAATTAAAAGTAACTACTACAAAAGACAGAAAATGCTTATGTTGGTACTAATGTTTTGAAGAGAGAAAAGTTTATTCTAAAAGCCCTCCAGTAAGTAATACTAATAATGATGATGTTTTTAAAGGAATACTTTAGCGAGCATGGATACATTACCGGCTAAGAATGGCTTTCCAAAGACAAAGGCAATCTCATCTGCATGATCTGCTTTTACAAACTCTGGTACAACACCTGTCGCTGAACTTGGTCGATGTTGAAATTCATAAAAGTAGACTGGGTTGCCAGCATCTAGTAGAAAATATACAGAAGAGTGTTAGTTTGAGAGCTGAAAATACCTGCCACCAACAATGATAAACTTTAATTGCAGGCTATTTTGATAAAATGAAAAACCTATCAGTTCTTTGGATAATGAAGTGTGATGAATACTGTCCAAAAACACACCCCAAAACAGAATTATACATTACTTCTAGTAGATACTGAATTAGAGACTCACCTCTATGGTATCTAGCCACTTCAACGGCTGAAAGAACAAACAAAGAGTCTCCTAGTGCATCAAGAAGACCATCTCGCACTTGAGCCTGGTTTTCTGCATTCCCTATGTATTCATTGTATACTCGATCAAGAACTTCAGAAGTAACACCCTGAAATTAACAACAAAAATTCTTCTTATAATGATGATGAATATTATAAAGAGTAACAGCACTAATTGAGAGTGCCATCTGTGCATCCTGACTAAACCCCAAACACTACCTTCTTTCAGAGAATATCCTCTACTGTGCCAGTGTGGCTCAGAGCTCAGAATTGGGAGTTACACAGCTACTGGATATAGATGTTCTCAGGGCAAAGAGGTTTGCAAGTTATAAAGATCAAACATCTTTAGATAAACATCAGTCAGTGATGCTGATAAATAGATATGGTAGTCTGTTCTCCCTTCTGTGGAAATAACCCTCATAAGAGAAAATAAATCCTGTTGAATTTAATAAAATTAATTTGTTGTTTTAGTTGGCCATGATTTACTCCCTTTCAGAACAAGCCTGGGCTCTGCCTTTCCACGTTTACGATGGATGTCTGTGACACTGAAGGATCCATTGCAAGCACTGGCCATGTTTATGAAGTTGTTAATTCTTACCTACTAATTTGCATTTTCTCGTATTTAGTAGTTTCAGGGGACCACAAAGGAACCTGAAGGCTAAGAGGTTTATAGATTGCAGGGAAGCAAAAACTCAGGATACCTAAACAGTGCCATTTTAGACATCTTGGGTTATCCTTTCTAGTCTCCAGCTACTGCTTCAGAAAGGGTGTGTTCTACAGGTCTCGTGTCATACCTGCCAGTACTGTGCATGCCTTGGATAACCCAGGGTATCTAAAATGTCACAAGAGACCTATGTTTAAGTACCTGAATAACTTCTGGATTTCCACAGAACTCCTTTTTAAAAAGTGGGGCATTTAGGATAGAAATTTTAAGTGTATTTTCCATCTCTAGTGGCAACATGAATATACCATTTCTGCTGCCCATTACTGCCCCATGGTAGGAAGCTGTCAAACAGAACAAAGTTTGCCTCTGAAATATACCTCTTCAGGAGTACTAGTATAGAACCAGGCCGTTGAAGCAGCAGCACTGGGTTATTCTGAAGATGGTCCATTACCTTAATGGATAATGGTAAGGAGCCCTGTAAAAGTTGACGTGCAACATCTTTATCCAGACCATCTGTGTAAGCAGGAAATTTCATCATCTGCATGATACAGAGAATCATATATGTTAGAAAATCTTATAGGAACAAAATAATATATAAATAATGACATTATAAGTCTCTTACCATAGGAATTACCCATCCAAATTCACAGTTATTTACTCCTATTATATATGGGACTGCATTGATCACTTTTTCAGATAGTAATTGCCTGGGACTCTTCGGAAAAAATACACCGTCTGCAGATGCACTGACGAACAGGGAAGGCTGGAGAGGAAAAAAAAACCCCAAACAAGCAGCTTCATTAATACATGAATTTTGCTTCTAGAAAAAAAAATCAGATTTTTACTGTTAGTTACAAAGAAAAAACAAATTAAGTGCCAAATGAAAATGTAAGAAGTAACAGTATTCAAACCATCCCTAAATTTTCTCTGACATGTTTTCTGCACTAGACAGAAGATTCTGTGAAGATTAGCATTATATTTTTTAATGTTAGCAAAACATAGGTGATGATGATCAATTGGCATCTCTTTTTAGTTAGTTCAATCCTATTATGGATGTGTGGAGCAGTGGGGGAAAATCTAACTTCTGTGTTGAAACTGCAAAGGAACATGGAAGCTAGCATTATGGTAAGAAATTTTAAGTAGGACAGAATGTATTGGATTAATTAATTTTCAAGTTCTCCAGGAGAAACTGTGGCTTTTCATACGCTCTTTTCCTTCCTCTGGTAGAGCATGACAGTGAAACACAAATGGCTCAAAGTCCATGCAGAATGAAAAGGAAATAACCTGTTCACATTTTTCAGGTGAAGTATAGCATAGCCGCAATGTTGTAAAATCCTGAAAAGGTATAGAAAGTCAGACGTTACATTCACTTCAAGTTCTCCTAATATTACATACTATACAGATAGCATACTATGATAAAATCTGAAATGTCATTTAAATGCAAGGAGTATAATTTCACCTACTATTTTTAGTGTTGTCTGTATTATCTCTTCTTCTGTTTTTTCTCTTAAGCATTCAACTATTGCAGCCGAACTGGATTTTTCACAGCCAAAGGCAGTAGCAATTCTCTGCAATTAATAAAAACAAACACTTCTTCATATACTTCCCATAGCAGGCTCTGTGCGCCACCGAGCCTGAGTCCAGCAGGGGGGAGTCTAAACAAGATTCAGTCAAGTCAGACATGTTTCAGCTGAAGAGGTAGAGAATAGGAAGCCCTCATAACCCTTCACATTTGGGCTGAGCAGAAGGACAAAACATGTTCCTCCAGAGTATTTTGATACAGAAATAGTCTGGTAAAAAACGTGCTGGGCTGAAAAGGCAGGATGACATAAGGGAATTAGAGCAATGCACAGTCAGAATACAATCGTGTAGATGGCAACAAAAAGCACATGATACCATTCTTGAAGATGTCTTTTTGGATGGAGGAACAGCTGTCATTAGAGAGACAGAGCTCAGTATAACCTTGCCTCTTTTATATCCCAGATTATCAAATCTAGGCTTCTGGAATATGTTTCTTGTTGGTTTTTTTGTTGTTTTGTTTTTTTTTAAAAGGCTTGAAGCGGGTTGAAGTCAGCTCTTCTTTTCAAATACAAACAAATCGAATAAAGTGTTGTTTCTTTGCACACAATAGGCATCAAACAGGTGGAAAGAGAAGAGTATTCAGAATCTGGTGGCATTTTCCACCCAAATATTATAGCTCAACTTTTCTCAAAGACAGTACATGTATTAGTATTACTTTATATTTCATAATTCTTCCCTGGCTTCTCTCTTCACTTACTTAGTCTTTTGCTTTCACTCAGACATATGTGGATATTTGGGTATTTGAAAAGCAAATCATCATTAAACATGTATTTTTTGCACACTGAAATGTTGTCTTTGTGTCATAGTTTCACAAGAAAGAAACCTGTTTTTACATTTTGAAATAAACAGCTTAAGATATGCAAAACTATCTGGAAAATAATTAAAAATACCACAAAATACCCACCTGTGCCTCCTTCTCAGGCTGGTCAGTGAACAAAGCCCTGATTGCAGTACCGCTCTCTGAAATGGCCTTATGGAACAAGCCCTTTGCCAGGGGAGATAAGACCTGTGAAAAACCAGAACAAGAATTACAAGCATGACAAGCATTATGTTCTGACCACCAACTTAGAATTTCAGTATCAGGAATACCATTTAAAACGTTCTGAAAACAAAGGTCATAAGACTGTTACTCTGTAGCCTCTGGTCACAGTTCAGCTATGCAAAGGGCTTTGGCAGCACTATCAGGGATAAGGAGTTCTTGCCTGCTTTTTCCCCTCCCATAGCACCTTGCTTCCAGGACTTCATGGAACCACACTGCAAGCCAGATGTGGAGCGAATAAAGGTCAGCTGTGCTGCAGAAGGGGAATAAAAAACTCTTGGCCAAAGGGCAGGAGCTTAGGAAACAGGAATTTTTATCACATGTATCACTGAACCCTGGTTTCGCTGCATGGTCTGTACCAAATTGTGAGACTGGAGAAGAACCACCTCTTAGCCAATGCACTCAGTGTCAATGTAAAAATGTTACACCATGACTGGTCACAAAATGCACATCTAGTTCAGATATCATGACTGTTCAGTGGGTTACTTTGCACAGGTGACTGTCAAAGCAAACAGGAAACGGGCAATACGTCCTCTTAAAGGACTTTTCTCACAAGGATAAATTTTTAGGTTTTTGGCACTGCAACCACCCCTGCCTCACCCCAAATTCAATTCAGTAGATAAGGAACAACATTGGGTCTGAACTACAAAATCTGAGTATAAAAAGAACATTTTCATCAATTAGAAGCTGTATTGATATTGATGTCACATTGCATCCCACAGTGATGTGTCATTTACTGTAAGACAATCCCTTTCTCACTGTCTTTTCATGCAGGTAATAAAAACGACCATGGACAGTGGGTTTTTTTCCCCTAAGTAATTAAAATTCAATATTACTCTGAACTTACAAGAGCAGAAACACTGATCCCTCCTGCAGACTCTCCAACTATAGTGACAGATCCTGGATCTCCTCCAAAATGTGCGATATTTTCCTGAATCCACTGAAGAGCTGCTACTTGATCCAAATACCCCCAGTTACCTCGGGCATGCTTATCACCAGTGCTTCAAAGAAACAATAGAGTTGTTTAAATTCTCAATGCAAGAAAAAAAATACAGAGAAAAATACACTCTATGGTATAAGAAATCAGCTGCCATTCTCTACACAACTGAAAAATAAATGATTCAGAAAGCATTGAGATTAGAGAACCAATCAAACTAGAAGACTTGGAAGCTGAGTTAGGACTTGTCAATTGTTCCCAACTGTTGCATGTGTAATTAAGAAACATATGGTTTCTTTGCATAAGCAAGTATTCTGCACGTCTCTTCACAAAGGCTTTGCGCACATAATTTTGGAAATCACTTAGCAAAAACAGAGATGAAATATCTTACCTAAAATATCCAACAATACCTAATCTGTACTGAATTGCTACCACCACCACATTGTCAAAGGCCGCTAATGCTGAACCATCGTATGATGAAGCTGCTCCAAAAATTAATCCACCTCCATGGATCCATACAAAGACCTGGAAAGACAAAACCAGAAACAACCCAGCACGGATAAGAGCTCCCAGTGATAAAAATCTAAATATACATCAGAATATACTATTTTGTGCTGTTCTGATCCTGACTCTTTCAGATTACATTTCACAAATGGTAGAAATCTTTCGACTATGAGGCCTGCAGTCTTACAAAATTGCATTGATTGATTTTATTAAATACTTACATTATATCAGTGCCTCGTGGCTTTTCACAAATTAAATCAAACATTGCCTAGATAAAATGTCAATAAAATTTTATTTGTGAAATAAGATTTTGTGTATCTTTCAAACCTCAGCAAATACTGAGGCAAAGCATGTAACTTGATCATCATTACAAAACTGCACCTGTAAGTCTTCATATAGTGCAGGTTGTAGGTTTGCTGTAAAATAATTTTGCTAGAGGTTTTATAATGATTTTGCTTACAGGCAGCTTCTCTTGTTTTTCTGTAGAAACAGGTGTATACACATTTAGGTATAAGCAATCTTCAGATACTTGGAGAAGAACTTTTTCTTTTCTATTAGTAATAGCATCCGAAAAAACCTGTGCTTGTTCTTTATCCTGTAGACACCTGAAGAAATGAAAAAATAACCAACAACAGAAATAACTGAAACCTCAAAGCTATGAAGTGTAGCTTTTTTTCCACAATAAAGTGCAAATTAGAAACCAATCTCTAGTACATTTCTAGATTGTTGGCAAAAGAAAACCTAAAATATTGTTTTCACTTGTAATATATTTTCATCCTTTGACCTGACATTAAGGAGATCTGTAAAAAGGAGCCACAGTCTACAGCAGTACATAGTGACATGCAGATATAATTTTGCCTGTTTCAAAATATTATATAAGTATACTTGCAAATATATATAGCTATAAATTACTTCAATGAAAATGCAAATGAATTATTTTACCCCTTCAATAACCTTTTACATTGTAATGATAGGTATTAGGCTTGAGGTGCTAAACAAGGCCAGTAGTACAAATGGAGTAAGACATTTACAACATTGGCTAGAATTGGTCTGCATTTCTTATGTGTCCTATCGAGCATGTGACTCACTCAGCATTTTTTTTCTTCTAATACTTTATTCTAACATTATTCAGCTTCTGTTTCTGCTCCAAAGCTACAGTTTATAAACATTGCTAAATGCTCCCCAAATGGGGCCAAATGCTCCCAAAACAGAACGTTATTGGCAAAGTGCTGGTTCATATTAGTTCATCACTGATGCCCATTGGATGGCAGTTTTTAATAAAAAGAGCAGCTTATAAAAATGTCTTTAGAAATGCATTGTAATGTAAGAGTTACAGGTGGCAACAAGATAGCACCAAGGAATCTGTCTTTGTGGCTTTTGATTGCCCTGTACATCAGTGTCCTGGAATTGCATATAATATAAAATTATCAAAAAGATCAATGTTTTTGGTTTTGTCTTACATTGGTGGGTAGGAAGTGCCATCTCTGACACCTTCCCATGGCTCAGGTGGCTGTGGGTCAGAAAACCTCAGTGGTCCAACCGGAGGCTTAGCAAAAGGAAGTCCCAAAAACACATTTACACTCCTCCCAGCTGCCTCAACTTCGAATTGGTACCCTCGGACTCTCCCATATTTGGTCCTCACTTCTGGTTGCTCTGCTTTTTGTCCTGGGGGATGTGAGCACAAAAATCACATAACTGGTCTATTTGTAAGTAATTGGCAGATTTCTAAGAGCTTTACCTGTTTAATTATACACCTTTTGTTTGCTTAAACAATTCACTTCCATACATAAGGCTTCAACAAACTGTTATCAGTATAGCTGGCATTATTTCAGCCTTCATTCTCATCTGTTTGTACATATCCTCTCCCCCAGGTACATCATATCTATTGTCTTACTATCCCCACACATTAGTAATTGCATATAGATCTCAGTCCTTTTTGATCCAGGCTGTTAGTTAAAAGTCCTATAAATTGCTCTCATTAAGAAAAGTAAAATCCTTCGTAAGAAAAGGATTTCTGAACATGCAAAATACGTTCCAGACCCTTAATAGTATGTACAGTCAAAAGGAAAATCTTCTAACATACCTGAAAATAGTTTGGCATATACAAATACTGTTACCATTTAGGTAAGATTAATTTTAAGATCTATGTGAAAAGTTCTCAATATCAAATTACAAATGTGGTACAGTGGGCTGCTCAGTGGGCCCCTCAGAAGGACCCAAGATTTTAGGACAGGAACTTGATTTTGCTATTTGCAAAAAAAGGCAAACAAGACAAATGACCAAAAACAGAATACGAAAAGAAATTAAGAACCATTTGCTATTAAGAGCTATTTTCTATGCAGCAAGGTTGGGTGTCCAGGTCCTTTGATAAAGCAGGAGTTCCCCTCGGTGAGCAAGCTGCATATGTGCTCTTTCTCCTTATAGAAGGCAATAGGGAAAAACTCTTCTGAAGCTTACCAGTAGCTATAAGTGCTGTGACCCCGACGGTGAGAATGCAGGATAGCAGCAATGTGTCCTTTCCAGTCGCCATTTTGCAAGCTGGTCACATATTTACCTTCTCAGTGTGCTGCCTTATGTACTCGGTTAAGTGTAACTATTGCGCAAGGCAGACACCGATCAGGTAAAACGAAGCTCGAGCTGCATGCAACTAGAGCAACTCCCGTGCCTGTAAGCCACTCCTGCAAGGGCAGTGCATGGCAGCTCAGCTGCATATGGGGACAGGGACACTCCTGCCTTGCACAGTGACCCCACAAGTTTCATACTGGCTCACTAGTATTCACAAAATCTCTGCCATGAACTATGTGCTTTAAAATGCTTTGAAAACAGTCTTCTATTACACCAGGAGATTTGTCCTGCTGCTGTAATACTGCCATCTTTTGCAATTAAGTTAGGATTTCCATACACTACACAGTGGAGAGACCAGGAAGGGAACTACTCTTTTACTTTATTACATCAGTTTACATCATTTTAGTATTAATATCTCAATGTAAGAAACACACAATATAGCCACAAAGAGCAAAATTTCAAATAATACTCCTGAAAAATGTGCTTTTGCTGAAGTAGAAGTTCAGGGATTTTTATTCTCACAAAAGGATATTTTTTAATAAAAACTATACTAGAAAAATTTTAGCTTTTCCTGCAGAGTAGGTACTCCACCTATTACTCAGTCTTGCATGTTCAGGGATGTTTGGATTCTAACACAATACAAGAGTCTTGCAATGCTAAAGAGATGATTTCTCAGTTTTGTAGCATGTGAACAATAGTAAAGGATTTGGGTGGTAACTGCACATTTAATGCCTCTGAAAACCAGGAGGGTTTATGGACTTCTGTGTGAATTCACATTGGAGCATGATACAAAAAATAGGGGAGAGCTGAATAGAAATAAAAGAGACTTTCTGCCCACATAACTAAGGAGATGTTAGTTTTATGTAAGCTTTGGACTCTGCTTTTTTTTAATAATATATTTACTTATTTTTTGGCAAGGCTCCATAGCTCTTGCCCCAGAAAGGCTGTTTTACAATTTTGTATCATGAGAACTCTCAGTTGTCAGAGACAGCATTTCTATAGATTAATGTACTGCTTGCGTCGTTGTTTTTAGCTAAGTAGGCTCTGAAGACTCACTGCCATTAAATTATTTGGCACATATAATTATGCACCTACTTGTCCTGTGTACTATGGCTGTGCTTGTGTACTTTACTCTGCACTCTTGTTCACCTGCTTGAATATTGTTGCAAATTCTCTCGCCTTCTCCGCTTACCTTGGGCTGCTTTGGTTCCTGGTGTGGGAAAATGGCTCCCACGTGAGGTGGAACTACAAGAATTCCGCCCCCCCCCGGCTTGTGACTCAGCCTCCATCCTGAAGGGCATGTACACCTCAACTCACTTGTGACCTGCAAACTACAGGAAGAGTCTTCTGCTACAAAGTCAAATTCTGTGCTCTGCTTGCTGCTCTTTCCTTTTGCTGAAACAAACTTTATCTCCATAGACAATTTATTTTCTATCTCCTGATCTTCACTGGTTTTACTAAACTCTGTCCTTTCTCATTTGTTTTCCCTTTATTTTTCCCCATAATTTGCTATTCTATTTTCCAGGCCTTACTCTTCAATCTTTCTTTGTTCTGCTCACCACTGCTCTTTCAAGTGCCCATTCTGCAAAATGTCTCAGCCCATATCCCATCCGCAGTCCTAGAGGTGTACAACTTGAAAGCCAAACAAAGCAGCCATTCTGAAAATATTACCGGTTTCTGCAAACTCTGCCAATCTTACTTAAAATAAGATAATGAACAAATAGGATTTTAGATCCCTACAGCCTTTTCTGTAGATAGTTTGTATAGATCTACAAGTATGACCTCAAAAGTGGAAACTCTTACTCTAGTGACATAGACTAAACCTGTGGAATCTGGAGACAGATTCTACAGACAATCTACATTCCTGGCAAGTGGAATTATTGAATCCAGTTTGGCATCTGATTTTAAGAGAGAACATTTTGCAGCTTACCCTCAATCAGTGAATAATGCATAGGTCAGGCATCAATTATTAAAAAGAAATCCTGCCACATAACGACATTTGCGTCTTTATACTTTAATGTACTGCTACCTTTCTGGATTTCAATTGGTGAAAAATAGAGACAAATATCATATTTATAGGTCCATAATTACATTAGAGCTCACAATTACATTTTGCTTCAAGTATGTACGGTAGAAATGTTCACAAGTCTGTGTGTAAAACAGGGTCACTTTGTTTTTTTACTCAGCCACTGGTGAGTATTCAATGAAGCTGGAGTGTATAAAACTTAGAGTCTATGAAGCTAGCGCTTCGACAGCTTTAACACTCTGCCTCTTTAGCATGTGGTAATCTCACATCAGGATGTCTCCGGGATGGGATGGAGTATCAGAGCACTCACCCCTAAGCAGACAAATCTTTTGACATTTTCCACTGTGATTTATTTTTAGCACTGTGCCTGTGCATAAGAGGTCAGTTCCACTGCACTTAAAACATACACAAGCATATCTTCTGTACATATACCTACAATGCTGCCTGTTTATCTCCTTTCAAAGGGAGTGGTACAGGACCTCAGGGAAATTGTATGTGCAATGAAAATCTATCGAGGATGTTCTGAGATTATATTCCCATCACAATACATGTTAGCTAGAACAAAGAAGGGACAGAATTCCTTAGCAGAGGAGTTGTGCTAACAGTCTAACCCTACCTCCAAGAGTTCTGACTGGCAACAGCATTTGGGCAGAAAGATGTAGGAAATCCCACCCTATTTCTTCCAGTAAAGTCATTCAGACAGAAAGGATGGCCAGTTAGTTTCTGTAGGTCATTATTAGCTAAGAACTATCTTAAACTCTTCCAGAAACACAGAGAGGAGAAGATAGAAGGGTGGAACAGATGCAGAGTGCCCTGTAGGATCTGTGGAGTGGCATAACTCTGCTGTGAGGTAGCAATATGGTCAGGAATGCAGCTGGAGTAGCTGGAGCAGCCTAGGAGCCAGATATAGGAAACAAAGAAGACAGCAGAGAAAGTTTTTGACAACGCTGAAATGCAGTGTTCAAGACTTGTTCTTGGCAGTCCAAGTGCATATCATTTGGTAAAGTCACTGGAATAATTCTGGTACAAACAAATCTCTCTCCAGTGCTGTGACCCAGTGCAAACAGAGAATGTGAAACTGATGGCGCAGAGAACAGCCTGGAGCACAATACAAACCACCATGGAAAAGACAGAAAGTGTGAAAATAATCTTACCAACATGGATCTCTCTAAGCGACTTATTGCTAAATTTAAAAGGGAAAAAATGTGGGCAGTGGAGACCATTTCTCCCTCTTCTAACATTTGAGAGAAGTCAATTCCAGCTTGTTACAGATCACACTGTACAGATCACTGTGTTGCATCACAACAGTCAGAAATACACTAACTCTGCTGTAAAACCAACTTAAAAAGCAGAACATTTTTTTTTTTACAGAGGACATTTCTGTATGTAAATCAGACCAAAACTGCTGTACAACCACTGATACACTTGACATCAAAAGACAGTTTTACTTGCAAATCAGGTCTTTATTAATTTCACTTTATTAAAACAGAGTCGCTGCTACATTCTGTCTTCAGTCACAGGAAAGGGGTAGAAAAACCTGAGCATTAGGGCAGTTTGGTAACTATATTCAATAAGTGATGAAACAAATCCAAGAAAAAGTAAAAGGTCACAAATGGGAAATAGCTCAATTGGAATTATTACAGTGAATAATTGCAAATATGACAATGGTGAAGAAAAGCTGAAAAGAAGGAAAACATAATTTTATCCTCAAAGTTACTTCAAGTAATTTCTTTTACTATCCTAATGATTTGGATATTATCTGCATGTTTAGACTGTAGATTATAACTCTGAATTAACCTTCTTCTGTTCCATTCTTTTGTTATTTGTCTTTTCAAACATCACCTTTCTCCAGAAGTCTACCTTCTTTTCTTTCAACTTTCTGGCTTTCCTCTGTTTCAGATTTATCTGTAAATATTCTTCATTTAGGTTATAAGATGGCCATTCAACTAACCCCTCACCATTAGGATTTCTGTAAACAACAAGAAAGAAAGAGTGAATGCCCTTTTCAGTCGCAGAGGAATTCAATCACAGCAATTAAGACTGAATTAACAAAACAGCTACCTCACAATGGAATCAGTACAAACCAATGTGTCTCATGAATCTCATGATTCTTACCCATTTCGAGCAAAGTTAGCCCAGTACTTCATTAAAGTTCTACTAAGGCTCTTTTCTTCCTCTGTAACTTCACCTAAGAAACAAAATACAAAATAATTTTTATATGTGGCAGAAATCAAAACATTACTACATGGCAAAGAATGGAGAAGACAGTAAATTAGTGTTAAACAGATTCTAACAGGAGAAAGAGTTATACTTCAGTTTTGCTGTTAATATATGCACTTTGATTAAAAATGGAAGTAGCACTACTGAAAAGAGTAGCGCTAGTGTTATGAGAGTAATTTATAAGTGTAATTTATAATTTATAAGAACATTGAATGTTCCTTACTACGTAGCTGAATTTCACCAGCCAGATATGGTCCTCCAAAGACAAATCCAACTTCATCTCCATGATCAGCTTTCACATACTCTGGTTTACTATCCCAGTACGCAGTAGGCCGATGCTGATATTCAAAGAAGTAGGCAGGAGCTCCAGACTCTAGAAAACATAACATTTAGAGAGCTAAAGAAGAGATGCATAAATTAAAGCTGACATCTGCTGTTTAAAAGATTACTTTAATATGCCCAAATCTTTATACTGGGTAGAGTTTTAATGTAATGCTACATTAAAATATGTATTTTGAGTATTTATTAAAAATTAAAAACTCGCAGCTCTTACACAAAAAAAATGAAAGATTCGCCCCAGGAAAACTTAGAGAAAAGAAAGTTACATCAAATTATTTTCCAGTTCTGGGTATTTTGGCATTGTTTGTCTACACTATAACACTAGAAAATCTCCAGACTAGAGAGCTGCTGACTTCCCAAGTAGCAGAGGGCCAGAGGACAAATTCCAGGGTTGCTTTAATATGTTTTAATCATTAAGCCTGTATACTTCACTTAGCAAATATTTACCTGTGTTATCATGCTCTGCTCTCATTATATTGTGACTAGGAGCGTAAGTGCAAGACACTAGTACAAAGATAAAGGAGTGCACACATTTGCTTCACACAGTCCTGCAGCCCTGTATCACTCTTTACCCTCAAGTTCCCAGTGGGAATCTCAAAATGTGCCTACACACGACAGGATTTGTGTCTACATCATTGTGTCTACTACACCATGTAGTAAGAGGTTTGCACATCCTACTGGTGTTCATTAGCTCACCTCTGTGATAATTCAATGCTTTAATGGATGGCATGACAATTCCTACATCCCCCAGCAAATCCAGAAATCTGTCCCGTAGCTCAGCAGGATCATCTGTGTTTCCTAGATATTCATCCACTATCACAGGCAGAAACTCTGATGACACAGCCTCAGAGAAAAAGGGGAAACAAGAAACAAACAGAAAAATTATCTCTCTCTGAATGACCAACTAAAAGTGTCATATTTTAAACTTCTGCAAAGGCACAAAGGTCCAGGGTAGCACCCATGTTGATGGGGAACCATGATAGTAAATAAATCCCGTTCAGACTTTTTGTGGGGTAAAAAACAAACAAAACCAAAGACAACCAAAATACCCAACACACCAACACCAAAAAAACCAAGAAACCACCTCAGATCAGATCTGCAATAGATTTATATGGGTTAAAACTCTACAGGAATCAACAAAGATCCAGCAGCTTCTCCTGAAAAGACCTGTGGCTTCTGTTTTCTTCAGAAGAAAAAAGGTGGGAATAACAAAAGTAAATTTTCTGAGTCCTTGAAAGATTTATGGACTATAAGGCTACAGGGCAAGACAATGGGATCTCCAAACAGCTTATATTTTTTAGTGCTAGAATTTGCTGCTTCAAAAATACACTTCAAAACTAGGAGTGTGAAGTATTTTCAGTAGCTATTTTAGGAGTTACATTTAATTTAATATAAATATATTGAAAAATCCTGCCTTGAAACCCATCAGCCAAGAGATTAGCCATCAGATATCATAAGATTAGAGACACTATTGCAGCAATCTTACGTACAAACACAGAAAAGTATTGGTTCAGAGGTCTAGAAGGAAAAGGCATTTCCCTAAACCCAAGGCCTGACTCATCCTGTTTCCGTGTAACCTCATACACCGTAGTCCTGTCAACTTTGCCGGTACTCTCCCCAAAGCATAACATGACCGCAAGTCTTAGTAACACTGTGACTCAAGCAGCAAATTAGAGAACACCAAGCTTTACAAGTCTGGTATTATGCATTAAAAAGATATTTCACTTCTTATATCAGACTAGTGCAACAGTTCTTACCATCATTGGTAGTAAAATCTTTAAAGTTGAAGTGATTGACTTTTTATCTCCTATTTCCTTCAGACCTGGTATTTTTGATGTCTGCACAGAAAAAAAAAAAGCTGATATTAGGGCCATTCAACCTCTCCACTATTTTTACTACTTTATTCCACTTATTCTTATGACTGGTGTTTATTTTTGAAGCATCATATCCTACCCAAAAGTGCAGTACGATGCAGCAGCTGTCTTGAAAAGCTTGCATTTACTGCAGTACTTTTCCCTTGGTGAAGGAAATAATAATAATGATGATGATGATAGTAAAAATGATAATGATAATAATAATTTTATCCTTAAATCAACACACATTGTTAAGAAATTTCTAAGACTAGAAAGCACTAGGGCAGAATTGAAGCGAAATCCTCTTCTGTCTCAAAGACTTATTTTCTGTCAGGGGAGATCTTTAAAGTCAGTGGCAGCCTCTCTGACTCTAGTCCAGCTGTTCGAACCCTTTGAAGTAAAGATAAGGGAATGCTCCTCCTCTTTTAGACCATTACATTAAATGATTCTCCTGCCTGGAAACTGAATTAGAACAATTTCACTTCACATTTTTCCTCTTGGGCTCAGCACCAGCAGACTCACAGAGACACACAGTTACTCTGTAGATTCAGAACAAATGCTTTGTACTACACAGATGAATACTTAGGAAATGAAGAAAAGAGGACAAGGAAGAGAGAGGACACAAATCCACCCCCTGCAGTTTGTCCACTGTATAGCAACTGCTTACTTTTTGGAGCTACCCATGGAATTCATATGAGAGAGAATTCATGCACTGAGAGCGGCTGGGACACTCGTGTTATCCCCACACGCGGTCCCCAGCCGAGATTTGCAAACAATAGAACTTTCTGCATGGTAACGAGAAACACGAGGGCAGTGACACAACCAGCAGTCAGAGTTCATAATGACACAAAGGTAAGCTGCTTAAGATGATCAATGTCGCATTTTTGAACGTTCTATGTATCGATCCTGAATATTGTGCATGCAACATCTGTGTGTTGTGGGGGGAAGGATTGGTTTTGTTATTTTTTTTGTTAGTAATAAGCCCTTGACTGTTGTGTTCATTTTCCTCTGTCTGCCTGGAAAAAGGATCAAAATTTTAGGATAAGGAAATACTGTATAAAATTGATGTCCCAAGGATGTAGCCTGTCTCAGTGTTATGTGACCAACTGCTTCTGGGTCACTACAGAATCATAATGCAAGCAAAGTTTACCTTGTGCATGTTTCTAACCATGCAAAACCTTTTGGCCATACTTAAAATGTGTCCTACCAGCAAATATATTCTCAGAGCTGCCTGCATTAGTTAACACAAATATTCAAAAAAATGAAGAGTAGCCATTAAATTACAGATCTAATATTCCAGCCAAATTCGTTGTTGGTGACTCCTATCATAAATGGGACTGCATTAAATTCTTTCCCAGCCAATATCTCTTCAGGTGACTTATGAAGAAATACTCCATCCAAAACTAAGGGTAGAAATGGCATATCCTGAAAGAGGAGAAATAAAGATCACATTACTTGTTAACAGTATTTTCCTTTTTGTCCTTCAAATCACATAATAAAATGTTCACATTTAATGTTCCAAGTGCAAAAAAGGGCTTTATGAAATCTGAGCATCTACAGCCACTGTAACATAAATTCACAGTTTTGCACAACTGTATAAAATGCTAGTCTGGCTGGGTCATGGTATGGAGTAATGTAATGGTTTCCTGATCCTGTGCTGCTTCTGACATTAAAATAAGTGTACACTTGAGCCTTGCTCACAGCTTTACAGGTGTTGTGACACTTCATTGAAAATTCCAAAGAGAAATTATGTGAAATTATTTCCATATTTAGGGAATATTCTGACAAAAAATAAGAAAAAACCAACTTTGGAACACGCCAACAATGAACTCTGGTCAGAGGTTAAGCTAAAGTTTTGCAAGTGTGCCATTAAAAAAAATACATTACTAAGTAAAGTTTCACCTACCGTACTATTAAAGACTATATCATTTGCTTCCTGGTTCCTTAAGCAGTTTATCAGAGAGAGTGAACTGCTTGACTCACACTTAAATATACTTGCAATTTTCTGAAAATTATTAAGAAAGAAAAGAACTGTCAGCTGTGAGGTGGTCTTCAAGAAATTTATAAACAGAAAATTGTCATACACAGTACTGTTATTAGTTTTATTTAAGGGCTGATTTAGGTGAGCCTGACAGGTCTTCAAGCATTCTATTTTACTAGAAATACTACAGTTTGATCACAAACTGAATTCATTCTGGTATACTTGTTTTTCTTGGTATATTTTCATTCGCTGTTCTACAACAAATATTGCTGTAGAGATAATACGAGGTTGTAACATAAATAAAATAATGCAAGATAATTCAGAAAATCAGCTTATGAGGGATTTACATTATTACTACCTGGTGTTTCAGGAGGAGAAATGAAAAGGTACTTATAGAGGTGAATTTAATTTTAGAGATTTGTTTATTCACTTTGTAAAATTAATTTACTTGAAACAAAAGCCCTCCCTAAAAACACATAACTGAATAAAAACAGAATGCCTCTTCTGGATTCTAATTAAACTTTCTATGACAAATTTGCTTGTTACTGTATAAGTTACAGTGTGCATGAAAATGGACATATGCCTAGCTTGGCTTGTGTGTAACTGAAAATACCTAAATTAGCCCACAGATATTGTAATCACATAACCGTACAATCTATTTCCAGCACCTAACAAGCATGGTAAGACTGAAAATAAATGGACTATTTGAATGAAAATTTACTTAGTGCTAATCTATAGATTTATAGGTATGCCATGAGAATAAATATGATCAATTTATTGCATAATATGCAATCAGATTTTCCCCTTTTCTCTTTTAACCAAATTATCAGATAAGAGATATTCCATTTTAGGTTATAAAGACTTTAAAATGCAAAAATAATAATAAAAAAGAGCCTACCTTAAGATCTGTTGAAAGAAGTAAATCTTTATCAGGAGGGAATAGAATTCCACTCTCTGATATTGCTTTATGAAAGAGACCCTTAGACAAAGGAGATAAAACCTGCCAAGAAGGGAAGAACAGAAAGTATTTATTCTATGTTAAGGTCCTTATCCCATAACTTTATGCTTGACTAGACTGCTGGATTATGTGGGGAATTACACATTTTTATGTGCATACAGGGGAAGTGTCCAGACATAGCAAAATGTGCCATTAATCTTACTTTGAAAAATCAGTTTAAGCATGAAATGTTACACTAATTGAGTTTTTGAAGATTTTTTTTTTAAGATTTTACTTTTTAGTATATCTACTGCATGCCTACATGTGCAAAAACAGAGCAAGATCCTGCAGATACACCAAAGAGTGTGACAGATCCTGGATCTCCACCAAAGTGTTCAATATTTTCTTGGATCCACTGAAGAGCTGCTACTTGATCCAAAAATCCCCAGTTACCACGAGCATGTTCATCACCAGTACTGAAAGAAAAGGAGTATAAGCCACCCTCTCAAGAAGATTAGTAGTTCTTCTAATACCAGAATAAACCTCACCAACTTACATTTTTTGCAAAGTGTCATATCTGGCCAAGGAAAGATCTGTGTAGCCTACTGACCTAAAGTCCTTCATAGTCAGAATGAAGCCCCACTGACTTACTTGCCTCTACTGTCCATTCACCCATACACAGATGGATTCCTGGCTTTTACACTATATGGTGTTTTGCTTTACACACCAATGGATTGAAGTAAAGGCAAGAACAATCATTCTATCCAGAACCAAATAAGCCCAGCTATGATTTGATAGCAGGTTACAATCAAATGACAATGCAATGGATTTGATGGATATTTCTTAATGCTCTTAAGTCCTCCTGATGCCAGTGAACTATGTACCTTTAAACCACTGTAACAGTAGGAAGCTGCTATAACAGTTCAGCTAATTTGGAGAACAAAACTACCAATGCTTTAAACATGGTAAGAAGTTTTGTAAAAAGTTAAATACGTCATCTTACTTGAGGAATCCGAGGAGTCCAAGTCTGTACTGAATTATTACTACCACAACATTCTCGTAGGCCGATAGTGCAGAACCATCATACCTAGAAGCACCACCAAATATAAAATTGCCTCCATGGATCCACACCATTACCTTAGGGAAAAAAGGGTGAGACACACTTTTATACATTGCTTGATAGGTTTGATTTGAAAAAGAAAGACAACATCAGAGAATTAGGAACTCCAAATCACCGAAGCTCAATGGGAACTGAATTTTAAGTGAGGGGACTTTTGATTTTACATAACAATATTATATTTTCTAATGCAGCATCGTATTTTCAAAAGCAATTAAGTGACTTACGAGCTATCATTAGGTGTAAAATCTGTACAACACAAGTTTGTATAGCGGGTTTACGTACGGGTAACTTGTCCTTCTTGTTTGAACCAGCAGGGCTGTAAACGCTTAGATACAAACAGTCCTCAGAAGTTCGGAATGGAAGGTGCTTTTCTTTAAAGTTTTTTTCAGCTATTTTCAACATGGACAGATCTTGAGGACATCTTCACAAAAGAAATGAAGTGTGACTACTAGTAATAAAACTGCAATAGCAGCAACGTAACAATGATAGAGAAAATACACTTTATTTTGCCCCACAGACTGAATTCCCACTGGGTGCTTGAACTTTGTGTTACATATATGTGATTAGAGGTGCAACCTGTAAAAGCACAGCTCTAGACTTGCACTTAAAAATCTGAATTATCTTAGCACAATATAATGAGGAAACGTGATTTCCAAAGACAAGAATTTCCCAGAAATTGCTTGTGGTTCCCAGTCGCACAGTTCTTATGAAATATTTCAGTACTGGCAGTGTATTCACTACCAGTCAATACAAGCTCCTTACCAAAAATCAGACCACATGACAACACTGACAAACATGAGCAGGTCCTATATACAAATGAACTGAATGGCTCTCACAGTGGTGGGTAAGAAGTTGCATCTCTCAGATCGTCCCAGGGTTCAGGTGGTTCAGGTGGGGAAAATCTCAAGGATCCAACAGGTGCTTTTGCAAAAGGAATCCCAAGGAAAACATTTACAAGTCTGTCTGTCCCCTTCACATTTGTTTGTCTCCCTTTGAGCCGTCCAAGTGTGATGGTCACTTCTGGCTCAGTACCAGTCTGTCCTAAGTAACACATAAGGTAAAAAATAAATGAATTAAATTGTATCATCATTATTATCAGACAGACTTTTCAACAAAGCATTTTTATTGACTGCTTAATTTAGAAGATTTCAGCTTGTTTCTTTCCATTTTGTTCAGTTGTCATTTTGCTTTTGTGCAATGACAGACACCCACTGAAAAACACTCCCATAACTGGCTCTGCTAGTGATGACTGGAGTTAGGTAAGGCATAGTTTGCTCACTGTGCAAGAACATAAAGCTTAAAAACAAATTTCAGAGCAAACAGCAACTGCCAAAATAGTTAACATTTTCTAAATTTGCAATCCAACAGGATCTATAAAGTATTTTGTTTAGATAATTTGGAAATGTTTTTGCTTTCTACCTTTTACAAAAGTCAGAAAGTTCCATTTCCATAAAATAATCTCAGAAATTATTTAATCTCACAAAACCAGTAATTTTTGTATCAAGCTTATTAGGATACTATTGCAGATTGTTAACAAAAGTATGAGAGATGTACTACCCTCAAAAATCACTACACTGCAACTCATCAGTGCAGTTGCTTCCCCAGCAGCAATAATAACAGATTTTGCATCTTACCTTCTGCTCTGCAAGTGATGAACGCTATACAACAAAACAGGGTGCAAAGCAAAGCAGTCTGCCTTTGAGGAGCCATTTTTCACCCCCGTTTGAACTCTTACATTATTTTTTGGTTTTATGCGGAAGAGAACGGTTCAAAGGTCCCTGCTTATTAGGGAGTGCAGCTAAATTACCTTTTGAACATGAACTGCGTTTAGCACTTTCAGAGCTGTAGCTGATATACAATCCCTTAGTGTAACACATGTAATCATTACCTGATCCTGAGAATGGATGATCTGAAAATGACCCAACACTATCTGTGAACAATAACAAAAGGCCTAATCATAGTTAATTTGCTGTAAATACTGTCAGCAAAATTGTGAATAGAAAAACTTCTTAACACCAATGTAGCATTAAAATGCAGGCATTCTTTATTCCACATTAGGGTGCAAGGGGCATTATTTAATTCATCCAAGCTCGCAAGAGTATAGTCACTTTTCCTAGCATATTTATACACAAAAGTTTCAAGATTTCACAATCTAAGTTACAATAATTGGTTGCAATTTAAATATAATTATAATGTATTTGAATATTTGATTAATAATTCCCGAATCAACTGTGCGTGTGTACAAGGAGTCTTTCGGTGGTCTCTGCTGGTCCCTGGCAGATCTGAAGAGGCACACTTAATGTTTTTGGTTTTTAACTTTATTTATTAAATCCTTAATTTCCCGGATAAACCAGTGTCTCCTAGTCTATCTGCAGTGCTTCAGAATGTACTAGGACGTATCACTGTGCCAGGATGTCTCGGCTCCAATTACTAAGTTGGCTCCAGATATAAAGAAAACATGTCCTTAAGTGCATTCCAGCTTAAACCTCCTTGTAACTATAAGAGCTCCTACTAATTATTTCTAAAACAAGAGACACCTTTCCTTCCTAAGAGTTTAAGCTTACTTTTCTTCATAAGAGTTCATGCTACTTACTTCCTAAAAAAAAGACACCCTTCCTTCCTAAAAGTTTAAACTACTTACTTTCCAAAATAAAAAGACACCTTACCTTCCTAAGAGTTTAAACTACTTACTTTCTAAAAAACAAAGAAACCTTTTCTTCTTAAGATTTTAAACTTCTAAAAAGAAAAGGTGCTTCTAGAAAAAACAGACACTGTTTCTTCCTAAGAGCTAAAAAACTCTTACTTTCAAAAAAAAGACACTTTCTTCCTAAGAGTTTAAACTACTTACCTTCTAAAATAAAAAAGAAAACTTTTCTTCCTAAAGTTTTAAACTACTTACCTTCTAAAAAAAATACTTTTCTCCCTAAGAGTTTTAACTACTTAGTTTTCTTCCTAAGAGTTAAAACTATATACTTTCTGTAAAAAAAAAAGACACTTTTCCTTCTTAAGAGTTTTAGCTGCTTATTTTCTAAAAGAAGAGACGACTTTCCTCTAAGAGTTTAAACTACTCACAATCCTACCGGCAGAGGAAACAGCAAAGCTCTGAAGAAGTTCACTTAAATTCTTGCAAAAACCTCCCAAACCAACAAAAAAATCTCACACCAAAAAACAGGATTGCAGATTAAAAAAAACTAAGAAGTAACAATTTAAAAAAAAATAGTTAATTCTTGCAGAGTTTTTATTGAGGGTAGCACATCTGTACCATAATTGACACTATATGTGCTTTCCAGCAGGGACTGTACTCCAGCCTCCAAATTAGTTCTTTATTTTTTCTTGAATAAGAATAGGCCTCTTGTATTTTTCAGAATTAAAGGGGAGATTAAAGTTGAGGTTCAGATTATAGCTTCTTCTCTTTGAGCAGCCTCAGTGGAGGGCAGAAAGCAAGGTCTACTTACCAACACCCTATGGGATATGCACTTCCCTCAAAAAAGTGGGAAAGGGCCGTGACCACACGTTGTCTATATAATAGCTTCCTACAGTGGGAATAGGCTGGCAATCCAACAGCCAGTTTTCATCTGCTGGCTGAAAAAGTCCTAAAAAAATTGTAGTTTGTAGAAACATAACATAGAATCATAGAATCACAGAATGGTTTGAGTTGGAAGGGACCTTAAAGCTCATCCAGTCCAACCCCTGCCATGGGCAGGGACACCTCCCACCAGACCAGGTTGCCCAAAGCCCCATCCAACCTGCCCAAAGCCCCATCCAACCTGGCCTTGAACCCCCCCAGGGAGGGGCCATCCACAACTTCCCTGGGCAACCTGTGCCAGTGCCTCACTACCCTCACAGTAAAGAATTAGTCTAAATCTACCTTCTTCCAGTTTAAAACCATTCACCTTCATTCTGTCGCTACCTGCCCTTGTAATCAGTTCCTCCTCAGCTTTTCTGTAGGACCTCTTCAGGGACTGGAAGACTGCAATAAGGTCTCCCTAGAGCTTTCTCTTCTCCAGGCTGAACAGCCCCGACTCTCTCTGTCGGTCCTTGTAGGGGTGGTGCTCCAGCCCTCTGATCATCTTCGTGGCCTCCTCTGGACCTGATCCAACAGCTCCATGTCCTTCTTATACTGGGGGCCCCAGAACTGGATGCAGTGCTCCAGGTGGGGTCTCATGAGAGCAGAGGGACAGAATCATCTCCCTCACCCTGCTGGCTGCACTTCTTTTGCTGCAGCCCAGGATGCGGTTGTCCTGGTCTGCAAGTGCACATTGCCGGCTCATGTTGAGTTTTTCCTCGATCGACACCCCCAAGTCTTTCTCCTCGGGACTGCTCTTGAGCCATTCTCCACCCAGTCTGTACTTGTGCTTGACATTGCCCTTACCCAGGTACAGTACCTAGCACTTGGCCTTGTTGAACTTCATGAGCATGGAAAACCTCTCCAGCCTGTCCAGGTCCCTCTGGATGGCATCCCTTCCTTCCAGCGTATGAAGTGCACCACCCAGCTTGGTGTCATCCGCAGACTTGCTGAGGGTGCACTCAATTCCACTGTCCATGTCACTGACAAAGATGTTAAACAGCACTGGTCCCAGTACTGATCCCTGGGGAACACCACTTGTCACTGGTCTCCATTTGGACATTGAGCCGTTGACTGCAACTTATCCAGTGAGTGGTCCATCCATCAAATCCACACTTCTCATTTGAGTTCACGCAGGAAGGGCTCTGAGGCTCGGCCAGATCAGCTGGTCAGCAATGGTTACCACCAGGCAGAGAGCCATGGCCTCCCACAGCCATGCACCCACCAAGGCAGACAAAGCTTCCCAGATGGAGCAACAGTGGGAGCCCGCTGCCACTCAGGTGTTGAGCTGCAGGGTGCGCCCTGCTCTTATGCCGATGTCTGATGACAGCAGTGAGCTGTGGGAGGTGTGCCCAAGTAGAGGAGCTCCTCTGCATGGTGGTGGAGCTCAGGGAGGAGGTAAGTAGGCTGAGAATGATCAGGGAGTGTGAGGAGGAGAAAGACCATTGGAGCTGTACCCTGCCTTCCCTGAGGC